ACCCTTGTGATCTCTACAAGGGGCGCTACCTTAGATTTGCGGGAGAGTAAGGAGGATTTTCCTGTAACAAAAAAAAAGAAAAAGAAAGAATAAGGCTAAAAAGCCTATTTAGAATTTCATGCACACATATATAGTGATTTTGGTTTTAGTTTTGAGTCAAGCTTCACCTTGGTTTTTATTAAGTGTAGCTCGAATTTGTTCAATTATCTATCTCAATTTAGGTTGAATATAAATTCGAACTCCATTAATAAATAAATTAAAATTACTCAACACGATTAATTAGTTTGAAGACATATTCAAGTATTATTACATATTCAGACATTGTTATCAAATAAATCTACTAGTCATTCACTTTTGGAAAGTGTTATACTATACCTTCTAATTTTTTGAAAAGGTTTTGTATACAAATAGAGTATCACATGGCATTATCTTTCGCCAATCACAAATGTATATGTCATCTCTTGTTCTCCAAACATCAAACATAAATGTAGTAGACCTTGTTGTTAAATCCAATCATAATAGTAGAATGCACCACATGACATATATCTTATCAACCCCGTTTTGTAGCTCGAAAATTATAAGGCTCGAATGGCCCGAGTCCAAAACAACGACGTTTTGGTTTTTTTTCTTCTTTTTCTTTCTCGTTTTTTCTGAAGATAAAGAACATGAAAGTGAAGAAGAAGAAGAAGAAGAAGAAGGAGAAGAAAAAGAAGAAGAAGAAGAGAGAATAGGGAGCTGGAACTGGAGAACACAAAGAGGGAGCTGGACAACAACATCTTCATCAACACATCATCATCATTAACAACAACTTCATCAACATCTTCATCAACAACAACATCTTCATCACATTATCATCATCAACAATTTTTTTATTTTTTTTTCCAGATCCAGATCTACTTAGATAAAGAAAAAAAAGAAAAGGAAGAGAAAACAGAATCTGAAAGAGGAACATCTTCATCAACAACAACATCTTCATCAACATCATCATCATCATCAACACATTATCATCATCAACATTTTTTTTTTCCAGATCCAGATCTACTTAGAAAAAAAAATAAAAAAGAGAACAGAGTCTGAAAGAGGAGATCGGAGATACCCACTGGCGCTGCCACCATCACCGTCGATCATCTTTTCTCCTTCTTCTCTGTCGCCTCTTCTCTCTTCCTCTTCTCTTCTCTCTCTCTCTCTCTCCCTCCCTCCTCTTCCTTATGTCTGTGTTCGAAAGAAAGAAAAAGATAGAAAAAAAAAACACCTCCCAAAACAACGTCGTTTTAGGCAGTCGGGCCATTCAAGCTGGAAGAATTTTGAGTTACGAATCATTTTTCATATCCTATTCGCTTACAAAAATTACTCAATTTTTTCAATTTAACAAGTGGAATGATGTGAATTGTGTATTTAAGAATCAATGGATTGTGAATACGAGGAAGATAACAAGTAGGACAAAATTAAAATCATTAGTTATTAATGCATTAATTGAATTTCTTACAAAGAATACTCACTAATGATTGCTGGCCATGGTTACCAAATTCGATCAGTCCCTCTACCAATAGAACTTGCCCTTACTACCCTCCAAAAAAGATGATTTTTTTTTCGTTGACAAGGGCTTAAGAATAAGGCTATTTAAACCATAAATATATATATATATATATATACATAGAATTTCATGCAATATGATATAATTATTTTGATTAACCCATTTTAATGCAATACCCATGAAAATAACTCATAATTTAAATTTAATAAGAAGCAGCTATTATGTGCAAATACTTTTGCGTGAATTATTCAGTCTCATAAGTTTCTTATTTTGAGAAAAAAAGGAATATCACGTAAAATAAAAATAAGCAAAAGCTTTGGATTATTGAATGAGAATTCTCCATAAAATTTCTCAAATAAGATTGGGCAGTTTGTAAAACTAATTTAACTTTACTAAAACATTTTTTAACATTTGCCTATTCCCTATGCTTGTTCAGCATGAGATTTAGTTTTAATTTCTTCTCGTTATCTCTTATTCTTTGTACCCACTTACCTTTTAGAGCTGGAAAGTATCACCTTTTTTTAAGAAATGAATATAAATTCGAACTCCATTAATAAATAAATTAAAATTACTCAACACGATTAATTAGTTTGAAGACATATTCAAGTATTATTACACATTCAGACATTGTTATCAAATAAATCTACTAGTCATTCATTCTTGGAAAGTGTTATACTATACCTTCTAATTTTTTGAAAAGGTTTTGTATACAAATAGAGTATCACATGGTATTATCTTTCACCAATCACAAATGTATATGTCATCTCTTGTTCTCCAAACATCAAACATAAATGTAGTAGACCTTGTTGTTAAATCCAATCACAATAGTAGAATGCACCACATGACATATATCTTATCAACCCCGTTTTGTAGCTCGAAAATTATAAGGCTCGAATGGCCCGAGTCCAAAACAACGACGTTTTGGTTTTTTTTTTTTTCTTTTTCTTTCTCGTTTTTTCTGAAGACAAAGAACATGAAAGTGAAGAAGAAGAAGAAGAAGAAGAAGAAAAAGAAGAAGAAGAAGAGAGAAGAGGGAGCTGGAACTGGAGAACACAAAGAGGGAGCTGGACAACAACATCTTCATCAACACATCATCATCATTAACAACAACTTCATCAACATCTTCATCAACAACATCATCATCATCAACAACATCTTCATCACATTATCATCATCAACAATTTTTTTTATTTTTTTTTCCAGATCCAGATCCACTTAGAAAAAGAAAAAAAAGAAAAGGAAGAGAAAACAAAGTCTGAAAGAGGAACATCTTCATCAACAACAACATCTTCATCAATATCATCATCATCATCATCAGCACATTATCATCATCAACATTTTTTTTCTCCAGATCCAGATCTACTTAGAAAAAAAAAGAAAAAAGAGAACAGATTCTGAAAGAGGAGATCGGAGATACCCACCGGCGCTGCCACCATCACCGTCGATCATCTTTTCTCCTTCTTCTCTGTCGCCTCTTCTCTCTTCCTCTTCTCTTCTCTTCTCTCTCTCTCTCTCTCTCTCTCTCTCTCCTCTTCCCTATGTTTGTGTTCGAAAGAAAGAAAAAGATAGAAAAAAAAAACCTCCCAAAACAACGTCGTTTTAGACAGTCGGGCCATTCAAGCTGGAAGAATTTTGAGTTACGAATCATTTTTCATATCCTATTCGCTTACAAAAATTACTCAATTTTTTCAATTTAACAAGTGGAATGATGTGAATTGTGTATTTAAGAATCAATGGATTGTGAATACGAGGAAGATAACAAGTAGGACAAAATTAAAATCATTAGTTATTAATGCATTAATTGAATTTCTTACAAAGAATACTCACTAATGATTGCTGGCCATGGTTACCAAATTCGACCAGTCCCTCTACCAATAGAACTTGCCCTTAATACCCTCCAAAAAAGATGATTTTTTTTTTCATTGACAAGGGCTTAAGAATAAGGCTATTTAAACCCCAAAAAAATATATATATATATACATAGAATCTCATGCAATATGATATAATTATTTTGATTAACCCATTTTAATGCAATACCCATGAAAATAACTCATAATTTAAATTTAATAAGAAGCAGCTATTATGTGCAAATACTTTTGCGTGAATTATTCAGTCTCATAAGTTTCTTATTTTGAGAAAAAAAGGAATATCACGTAAAATAAAAATAAGCAAAAGCTTTGGATTATTGAATGAGAATTCTCCATAAAATTTCTCAAATAAGATTGGGCAGTTTGTAAAACTAATTTAACTTTACTAAAACATTTTTTAACATTTGCCTATTCCCTATGCTTGTTCAGCATGAGATTTAGTTTTAATTTCTTCTCGTTATCTCTTATTCTTTGTACCCACTTACCTTTTAGAGCTGGAAAGTATCACCTTTTTTTAAGAAAAAAAGTACTTTATTTCTTATTGCGACATAAAATGTATATTTGACTGGCCTTATTGTAGTCATTTGATCACATAATCATTCGATCACATAAATTTTGTTTGGAACTTTTTAATATATTTTAAATTTTTTTTGATACATCTATTATATGAAATATAATATTTGTATGTTTTTTAAAAAAACTATTCTACAAGTAAATATAGAGAAAAATTTATTATTTTTTTCCCATTTTATTATGTGTATTTCCCATCTTCTTGTTTTCAAACTCAACATTTCATTAATTAATTTACATCCCACATCTAAAGCCAAAAGGGAGTGGCCATTTGCCAATCAGAAAGGGTTAATTTCACTTTCATCCTTTAAAATATTACTATTTCATCTTAAATTATCACTTTTATTTATTATTTCACTTTCATCCTTTAAAATATTACTATTTCATCTTAAATTATCACTTTTATTTATTTAGTCTTTAAAATTTTTAATTTTAATTTATATGATCTAAGTGGAGAATATTGTATAAATCAGTAACTATTGAAACTTGATTTGTTGAATAAAAACAAGTCATTTTATACAAATCAGTAATAGTTGAAACCTAATTTAATCAGTAAAAAGGTCATTGCAAAATTTAAACAACTTAAATCATACAACAAAGTACTCACATTTTTTTTATAAATTAAAAAAAAACATTTTGAACAAATATCTCACAACCAATTTTATGAATGTTTTGTATGATTAAATTTTTTAAATTTTAAAATGATCCTTTTGACCATCAAAATAGCGTTCAACAATTACTAATTCGTACAATATTTCGTAAGATCACAAGAACTAAAATTAAAAACTTTAACCACTAAATTGATAAAATTGATAATTTAAAAATAAAGTAGTGATAGTTTAGAAGATAATAATGGAGATTATTCCATTCAAAAAAATCTAGTGGCATTTAAGCAACAGTCAGAGAAAACAAGGGCAATTGTAGCCAATAACAATCTGATATGTCTTTCTGAGCCCACGAAGACTCTCTTCCTCACTGACCACTGGCCTGCAGCTAGAGAGAGAAACTAGAGAGAGAGAGAGAGCGAGAGAGAGAGCAGATGTCTCTGCTTCCATATTCGATCCCCAAGCTCTGATTTTTCTACACAGATTTGTTTGGTTACTCAGAAAACTCGAATGGGTCTGTCTCAATTCATCCAATCCATTGATTGGCAACAAGAATCGTACCCAGAATATGAAGATTTCGCAGTTCTTCCATTGTTTGCTCTGTTCTTCCCATCTGTTCGTTTCTTTCTAGACAGATTTATATTCGAGGTACTATATATATATATATATATAACTTGTACAATCACACATGAATCGAATTGGGTCTTTGATTGTATCGACGCGTTTGAAATTTAGATCATTCTACACGCACAAAAACGGCTAAAAGATTAAATTTTGCGTTTCAAATATATAGCTGTGAATGTTTTTTTAATATGGGTCAATCTTCACAGTATTTACACTTGTAATTGACGGTTAGTGTTTGTTTGTCGTAATACTTTTTATGGGTTTTTACTTGTTAACATTATGTACTGAATCTACTTTTGACAATATACTATGGTGGTTGTACCTTTGTTATAACTGTATAGGAATATTTGGTGATGTTATGTGAGGTGAACTTGTGTTGAACTTTGGGGATTTAATGTTGGGTTCATCTTTTTTTGGTTTAGTTTTGGACTGTTTGGTTGTTATTGTATGTTATTCAAGTATATTCATTGATACCAAATAAATAGATAAACAGATTTTTTTTTTTTTTTTTTGGATAAGTAAGTCATATTATAGCCAAAAAAGAAATATATACAATGAAGTTCAATACAAATTTTGTGTAGGGAGAATAAATATAAACAAAAAACAAACTACTCCCTCAAAAGAAACAAACTAAGCCTATAGACGACAAACACAACATACACAACAAAGGATTCAAAATTTTCCTTTAGCACTCTTCAAGTAATGAAGTTTCGCTTTGAGTTTTCTTCTGTTATCCTTCTTTGTAGTCTTCCCATTAATGGGATCACTTGAAGATGGACTCCCTCTACTTTTTAGGCTCTTCATTTGACACAACAACTTTTGATTTAATTTTCCATTCCCCAACTCTCCCATATCACATGATTCAAGGACATCAAAAGCATTAGATGTTGATGGGGTGAAATGTTGCGTCTCTCTCTCTTTGTTTGTCACTGTCGTTGAACCTTGCCCACCATCTCTCCCTTTTTTCTTCACCATTTCCCACTTAGTTGGAACTTGTTTGTTAGTCTCCTTGACTCTCCATTCTTGTTTGGAAGATGAAGGGTTCAAAGTCTTTGGCTTCTGAGGGCACAAATTAGTGGTATGACCAAAAGTTTTATAAACATCACACCTTTGAGGCTTCCATGGGACCTCAACTTGAATCTCATATGGGTCACCATAACCAAGATTTATTTTGAAAGACTTAGGGATCTCTTTATTTGCTGGCACTTCAATACATATTCTCGCAAACGTAAGTCTGCTTCTCTTGAACGTAGGCTCATCCAAATAAAGAGGAGTTCGCATGATGCTAGCAATGTAACCCAAACCTTCTTCAGTCCAAAGCTCTAAAGGAACATTATACAACTTCACCCACAACGGCACACTCGAAAATTCACACTTTGTTAGTTTTAGTCCAAGTTGCCATTTTTTAACAACAGTTTGACACAACAACTCTTGATTTAATTCTCCATTCCCTAACTCTCCCATATCACATGATTCAAGGACATCAAAAGCATTAGATGTTGATGGGGTGAAATGTTGCGTCTCTCTCTCTTTGTTTGTCACTGTCGTTGAACCTTGCCCACCATCTCTCCCTTTTTTCTTCACCATTTCCCACTTAGTTGGAACTTGTTTGTTAGTCTCCTTGACTCTCCATTCTTGTTTGGAAGATGAAGGGTTCAAAGTCTTTGGCTTCTGAGGGCACAAATTAGTGGTATGACCAAAAGTCTTACAACCATCACACCTTTGAGGCTTCCATGGAACCTCAACTTGAATCTCATATGGGTCACCATAACCAAGATTTATTTTGAAAGACTCAGGGATCTCTTTATTTGCTGGCACTTCAATACATATTCTCGCAAACGTAAGTCTGCTTCTCTTGAACGTAGGCTCATCCAAATAAAGAGGAGTTCGCATGATGCTAGCAATGTAACCCAAACCTTCTTCAGTCCAAAGCTCTAAAGGAACATTATACAACTTCACCCACAACGGCACACTCGAAAATTCACACTTTGTTAGTTTTAGTTCAGGTTGTCATTTTTTAACAACAATCAATCTAGCCCCAACGTAATAGGGGTCATCTTCCAAAATTTTGTCTATAGCCTCTTCACTTTTTACTTTAAAAATAAAAAACCCATTATCAATGAAGACAACATCTTCAAGCAATTTTTTTCAAAGTTTCTCTGTCCAAGTTTTCACATAATGGAAAGAGAATCTTTTATCAATGAAATATCCAACCAAGGTATTTTCCCAATGAGAAAAGCTATTTTTTGAGATCTCTATAGGGACATTGTACATGCCATCTATTAGGTTCTCAATTTTATGGGCACCTATTTTATACTTCATTTTTGACACCTTGTTAATCTCTTCTTTAAGTAAAGAGCTCCAAGCTTGTAGAGGCTTACCTGATATAGCAGTTGTATCACCATCAAGACATTCATCCTTGCCAGATTGTGTGTCTTCCATATGTAGTTCAACCAAATCCTCATTTCTACAAGCTCGCACATTTTCAACACTCTTCTGTTGCTTGGTGCCAATTACTTCTCTCCTTTGATCAATACTGGGTGAGCCAAGTTTATTTGTCATTATCATTTCATTTGCCGCCAGTGGGGAAACAATGGCCAATTTTGGCCACTGCTCAAGATCAGTTAGCACTCTAGTTGGTGTGTTCCGTGCATTAGGTGTTTGATGCTGCTTTGATGATTGCTCAGTTGAGGCTTGCATTTCCACATTCAATTGCAACCGTGGTGTACCAAGATTTCCACACAAACATAGATCGACACAATCACACTCGATTGAGCTATCCTCCGATTCCACCTCCCTTAAACCCTTTTTGTTTTCATTCGAGGGCCCTTGCCATGGTCTCACCAAGTCTCCAGATATGAGAAATTTGGGGGCTCCTCGGATGCATGTAGACCTGCGGCGGAGTACGGCAGGCATCTCATCGGTAGATATTTGAGTATCCACCTGATTATCGAACTCCTGCAAGAAGACCTTGGTTGATTTGCACTTAGCAGATTTACATTTTGATTTACTCTTCACTAATTTGCTCTTAACTAGTTTGCCCTTCTTCATTGATAGCTTGCTGCCCTCTCTGTCTCTCTCTTTGTCCCTCTATCTCTCTCTCTCTTTCTCCTTAATCATCTTATGACTTCTCAGTAGCAGATTTCACTGAGGCATTTTGTCGAACAGGTGGAGGGCAAGACCTCTAGTTGCATAGGAAACTCTCCACCTTGTAAGTCAGCTTGGCCACTTTCAGCAACAACTAGGCTTAGCACTCAGTAACCCAAGAACGAACTAGAGCCCTTCTTGGTCTACAATGTCGGTCTGTGAATGGGAGCGAGTCTCCGTCTTTTGCTCTGGAGCCAAAGAGAGGGTCAAAGCTGGAGAGAGAATCGAAGATCCAACAGCTAGGTTGCTGTAGTAGTACCTATATTATGGATTCACTAAGACAAAAATGCTCTCTCACTGCCGGGTTGTTCCTGTGTTGGCCAAATCTCCGAGAGAGAGGGGAAGGAGTCACTCACTGCCGGGTTGTTACCTGTTCAGTGTTATTCAAATTTTTGTGATTTTTTGATAAACAGATTGTTGTTCAAACATTTTGTTTCAAATGTGATAGAATTGTGGGTTTGCTTTACAAAAATGATAGTAAAGAGTAAATTTGATGTTTCACAGTGGATTCTGTTTGTTATCTTACCTGTAATAATCAGAAGAAACTGGTGGGATTTTTTTTTTTCTCCTTTGTTTGAGAAAATTTAAATACGTCGAGCAGAATGTTCTTTTGGCTGGTTCGCGTAAGGGGATTTCATTTTCAAGTTTATTACATAGCCTTCATAAAACATGAAAATGTGTTTCTTTTTGACTTCGAGCGTTTTGGAAATATTTTACTTGCGAAGGAATCAACACCATCTGAAGAATTAAAGATTCCTTTGATAACAATGATGTGAGCCTTCATCATGATGAGGGCTTCTATCTTTGGGGATCGATTTTCCCAACATATTCTAGCCTCACTAGCTTATCATAATGAATTAAATAGCAATTCCTTTGGCTTAAATCTTTATGGTTGTGGGCATGATGTGTGTGAAGCACGTTCCCTGATCTGGCTGAAAAGGCTGAGTATAAAAAATAAAAAATAAAAGTAAAAAGATATGGGAATTTACCATTAATAAGTAATTGAGCGTGAGAGCCAAATGAATCAAAAGATTCATGTTTGGTTCGGGAAGGGATCAAGATAAACATAGAAAACCAAACAAAAGGACTTGGAACACAATGTAAATAACTCCATTAATGAACTTTGAATCTCTGAAGTACAAAAAATTAACAATTACTGAACTAAAACTCACAAAAGATAATTAATGAATTGAAAATGGCTTGGGGGCTAAAACTTTGCTACTGGTATGAAATCAAAGCTTAAAATTAGGTTTACATGTGCTGTAAAAGGGAAGATCAGCCAAGACAATAATATTTTTAGTTTTGGAAATCTCTCCATGTGTATTTTGCCAGTTACTGTCCACCTTTTAACACAAAAGGGAAACTATGGCAATAGGAAAGAAGTATTGCATGCTCTGTCATGGTACATGTTTCAACAAGACAGAAACTGAAAACTCATCCATTTTAGGAGATAGTATTTTCATAAACTTCATCTGGTGATGAAAAGAATAGTCTTACATTTCAAATAGCATCTGAGTCTCTCTATCTACCAGGGGATTTGGAGAAACCTTTATCTATGTACCATAAAGGGCATATTGCATATCTGTTCCTATGATTTTTTTTTTAAAATTTAAATTTTTATTTATTTTTTTATTTTTATGATTGTGAAATGTGAATAAGCCTGCTCTTTTAACCAATGGGCATCATGTTCAACTCTCAGATTATCTCCCCTTTTTTGCTTCTAGCTCTATAGCTCAGTTCAAAATGGATGTCCATATTGCAGAAATTGGGCAGACAATTGATATTTGCAAAAGGACAGCAGACACTGGCTGTTGAGACGGATGACAGGAAAAAGAAGATACGAAAATTCAAAGAATCAGCATGGAAATGTATTTATTATCTTTCAGCAGAGATTCTGGCGGTTTCTGTCACTTATAACGAGCCTTGGTTCACTAACACAAGATGTTTTTGGGTGGGGCCAGGAAATCAGGTCTGGCCTGACCAGAAAATTAAGTAAGATTTCAAAGACTATACATTAATGATTGTTTATTCAAGCAGCTATATTTGTTGCACTTGGTCCTTGATTTTGTCCAGGTCTCTTGTTAGTTCAGTGACCATATTGTGGAATATTCAGGTTGAAATTGAAAGGAGTGTATATGTATACCGCTGGATTCTACACATACTCCATATTTGCTCTAATTTTCTGGGAAACAAGGCGCGCTGATTTTGGGGTGTCAATGGGTCATCATGTTGCAACTCTCATTCTAATTCTGCTTTCTTATATATTAAGGTATGTTTGCAAGAGGTTATCATGTAGCACATTAATTTTTTGTATGCTATAATTGCAAGGAGAATGAGTTGGAAGGGCTAGTTTGTTGCTGCCAAAAGAATGATAAGCAGTGATGGGGATTGGAAAGGCATTGGATGACAATAAATTGAAGAATAAAGAAATTTTAGTTTAGTTAGGAATTTTGTTTTATTTTCTTTATGTTTCCTTAGTTGAATAATTTCTAGTTTTATTAAATCATTTGTAGGGTTTTTCTTCTATTTCCTTATTCGTAGAGAATAACTATAGATAAATAGAACATGTATGGGAAGCACTTATGTGTGATGAATGAATATTGATTGAGAGTTTTCAGAACCCTAGTTTGCTCCATTTTTTTTTTCTCTGGTTCTACATTTATGAGTGTAGTTCCTGTTACATTTATGAAAATTTGGGTGTTAGGCTTATCAAAAATAATGATTAATTAATATGAAACTTTATTTGCTTTCTGTGTCTTCTTGCAGGTTTGCTCGTGTTGGCTCCGTTGTTTTGGCTCTTCATGATGCTAGTGATGTATTTCTAGAAGTAGGGAAAATGTCTAAATACAGTGGTGCAGAAACTCTTGCTAGCTTTGCGTTTATTCTTTTGGTTTTGTCTTGGATCCTACTTCGCCTGATTTACTATCCATTTTGGGTCCTCTGGAGTACAAGGTGAGCAATTGATGATGTTAAAATTTACCATCACCTACCACCACCTACTCCTCACCTACTCCTCACCTACTACACTCACCCTCTCCTATATAATGAGCCACTCACCATTTGTAATATACACAGAAATATAAATCAATAATATTTCAATTTTAACAGATGATGCATATGTGTATTTGGTTATCTACACTTTGTAGTTTCTTCAGCCCTAATATCTAACATAGATTAGGTTAAAATCAAATGTGATCCCAAAATGTTGTTTTCTATCGAATTTAAAATCTCTATAAACACAACACATTAGAACGTAGAAGGGATGAACTACTGAAGGAAACATTCATGATTTATGAAGCTTTTGTTCATTTAGGGTGGTTTGATGTTCTTGAATTCCAGATTTATCATTCTTGAAATTATCTAATAGTTTTTGGTGAAGCATATTTTATTTGATTGTTGTATGAATTATGACTTCGCATTATGTTGTTAATAACAGTAATGCATGGTAAACTCTCTTCTCTCTTAAAGAAATTAATTGTTCTTGCATTCTTGAGTTCTTGTGGAACTGTCTACTGCCTAATTGGCTATGTACTTGTGGAGGGTATGCAAAGCTTCATATATGATATTAATTATTCAGATGTATGGTAGTGAATGCACATAAGTATGCATGATTGCTTGATTGTACTTTTGGCAGTTCACTGAATTTGGAACAGCTAATCTGATTAAACATGTGGCTTAGAGTTGAGATGCATAAAGTCACTGTGATTAAACTAATGACAGATCATTCACAATGAGAAAAGGAACTAGTGGATTATAGTTATTTTAACTATTACTAGAAATCTCTCAGAACAGTGAAAATTGAAATGGTTCATGATTGGAAAGTTGAAATTGTTACTAAGGGGCAGAACTAGAGGTGGGCTTCCCCCCCCCCTTCTCTTCTAGTTTGGTTATATATTGTTTCTTTCACAAAGAAATTGGCCCACCCCTTTAAAATTTTCGCAAATTTAGAGGATATTCAACTATCCTTAAGTAGTAATCCTTTATGAAGTAGAGAATAAAATATCCACAGAAATTTGTCATTTGATTTCCCTGAATCAAGTAAGTTAATCTTTAGCCTCCAAAATCTCCTAATTTTTAGGTGAAAATAGGAGGTGCAATAACTAGGTGCATTAATGTACCTATTTGATTCTCCTGAATCCAGTAAGTTAATCTTTGGCCTCCAAATCTCCCAAATTTAGAGGATATTCAACTATCCTTTAAGTAGTAATCCTTTATGAAGTAGAATAAAATATCCACAAAAATTTGTCATTTGATTTCCCTGAATCAAGTAAGTTAATCTTTAGCCTCCAAAATCTCCTAATTTTTAGGTGAAAATAGGAGGTGCAATAACTAGGTGCATTAATGTACCTATTTGATTCTCCTGAATCCAGTAAGTTAATCTTTGGCCTCCAAATCTCCATTAAGGTGAAAATAGGAGGTGCAATAATTAGGTACATCATTGTCCCTAAATTTTCTCCTATTCTTGAGAGACTAGTTTGCTGTAAAAACTCCCTCATTATCCCAGAAAGAGAATTCACTTTTAACATGCCATCTCTTTTGAATTGGCATCAATTTCCCTCGATTAGTACTTTCTACATATAATTTATTGTAGATTGTAATAATATTCATTCTCTATAAAATTACAATTCTTAAAAAGTTTAAGGTGATTGTAACAATATTATCAAATCACTACTGTAAGGAGATTGAAAAGGAAAAGAGTTAAAGTTCTAAACTTGTTATATGATTCATGTCTTCGGTCTCAACTGAATAAGATTAAAGGGCTCGCAATATTTCTTATATGCCCAAGTCCAAAGATTAAAGGGCTCACAACATCCATGTGTTCGGTCTCTTATATGCCCAAGTCTGGGTCATTTCTTTACTGCAATACTTAAAACACAGGCCTTACCATTGCTGTTGTCATACTACACATCTCATTCCTTAATTACGGTGGTTATATCACAGATGTTGTCCTGGGCCAATCTTGTACCGGGGTCAAGAGTCAAGAGTCTCAAGTATACCAAAGTTTTCACCATGCATTGTGGCTGGGAGGCTGAAGATGGAGGTTTCACAACGGTGTTGTGACACGTGTATTGAGCTGCCTTAGGTCAATCCTACTAAGAGAAAAACATCACCACTAAACTTTACTCTGGAGATATTTAGAATCAGTATGTGATCGTGGTGGTCTAAACTAACTTCTGACAAGATCCCTAAAAATACAATGAATGTTTTAGACAGTTAGTTATGAGTATAATGGAATTTTGAGGGTTGAGAAATGCAAATCTACTGGTTAAGAAATTTGCATCTTGAGCTTGCTGGGCCTACTTGAGCTGGCATAGATTAAAATAATGGTTGCCATTTGCAGTTGTTATTGTCTTTGTTTTCCATTTATACTAGTTATGAAGTGCTTTTGTACATATCTGCTATTTAGTTCCTATACGGTTTTGTTGCTGCCTTGGCTGTTGGCTCAGCAATATCGTTTACACTGGTGTTGCTCACATCTCATTTTGTGGTTTCTTTTAGTTTTCTAACATTGTTTATGCTGAGGGGCTTAGACTGTTATATGTTATTTATTTATTTATATCTTTACATAATTTTTGTTGCTTTATCCATATTGCAGTTATGAAGTTGTCCAGACCTTGGACAAGGAGAAGCACAAGGTGGAAGGACCAATTTACTATTACGTGTTCAATTCTCTTCTTTTTTGCTTGCTTGTTCTTCACATTTATTGGTGGGGGTTGATGTATCGGATGCTTGTCAAACAAATACAAGCAAGAGGCCAAATTAGTGAAGATGTTCGATCTGGTAAGTGAATAATAACTTGGTCTTTCTTTACTACATGAATAACTGAGATGGTTTTGTAATGTGAATGCTTTGCCACAGACAAATAGGTGTGGAATGTATCTCAAGAAGAGAAAAACATTACTGACCATATCTTTTTATATTTGACAATGCATGAGATGATGATTTGTTTTTACAAAATTATTAAAAAAGAAAGCTTGCTGTAAAATCATCTTCTGCATGGGCATTACATGGACCTAATGATCTCACTCAGTATTGTCGTATTCCTGCACCGGGGTCATTTGCCTGGGTAATGCTGATAAATTTTCATGTTATGTATATAGTGTCAATATTGTGTTAGGGAAATCTCATGTAACATACCATAAATACTATTACAATAGAAAATCAATCAACATAAAGCAAGTATGTAAATTAAATGTAAAGCCAGCAAATCTGGTCTGTGATTGTGAAAGGCATGTAGTCACTATCCTAAAGTTGTGATTGCCTCTCCACGCGAAGGTATTAATGGACAATAACTCCAAGATACAACCCAAATCATAATCAATCCTACCAACTTTTGTGCACACCACAAGGGTTACTGAAATGTCTATGATCAAAGTTGTCCAGAAAAATAATAATCAAAGAAAAACAACAAAGAAAATACAATATTTTAAAGTAAATAAAACTAGAGAGCTCCAATATCTTATCTAGAAATTGTAGATTAGGGACACATTTAGTTTCAAAATATTCAAGTTTTGAAACTTCGAAAATATTTCCAACATGTTGCATTTGGGCTTCTGTTGGATATGAACATGAGCCACTTCCTCTCCGGGTTGCTTTGTACTAGTTTAATTATCTGGGTTCAAACTCATAATTCAATTCTCCAAATTGCACGGAAAATAACAAGTCCTGTATGGGGAAGGTTGGGTGCATTTTATTTATTTGTTTTCTGCTCATTTGAATGTATTGGTGAATATCAAACTATCAGATACCTCCTGTCATGAACCTTCTTGTTCACTTGTGATCTTTAATTGGGCTATTTTTACTTTATGCAGATTCCGAAGGTGAAGATGAACATGAAGATTGATCATTTTTAAGATTTGCAATTACTGCTTCAAATATGTGTAGGTGCTCCAAAGTTTATAAGAATGTGTTTAATCTTTGAACATCCCACGGAAGAACTGGTATCAAATCATTTTGACCAATATCACAATAGACATTAAGGATGAAGTGATTTTTCAGGATCCTAAATCACCTAACCTTAGAGTGGTCAGATTAAAGGAAGGACACATATTCAAGTGCGCCATTTTGTTTGGTTTAGTTTTTTGTTGTTCATATTTTTTTTGTTGTTGTTGTCTTTGGTGAACTCTTTTTTTATATTCTCTCTTTATAGTGAATTTTTTTTTTTTTTCCAGATTTCTTCACATATTTTACTTTAAGAAGTGATAGAGACCCACAAGAAAAAGCTTACTAAAAACAAAAATTAAAAAACACCGAAAACAAGAAACTCAAACACAGTTTTTGAGTTTCAAAACAAAACAATGCAATGATCCAACATCCATGGAATGTTCTTCTCATATTGTCATTGATACTCGCATCCTTCTGTCTCTTTACTTGGATTGAGGAAAGTACTCTTCATATTTCCTTTTGCAGGTAGATTGAGCAGTTAAGGCTTACACACGTTCTCTAATGCACGCTCAACATTAAGATCAGAAATGTATACTAATTTGTGAGAAGATGCAAAAGCAGGTTGAGGAGTGTGGCAAGCAGACAGAAGTTGCATTTGTGATTTGGACGCATAAGCCTCTGGTTCTGCTGTCTCAAAAGGCGAAATTGTTGTGAGGAAAGTTCGTGATTGTATTGATTTTGTAATACTAGGTTTGTAACAATTGAGATTGGTGTCTTTTTTTTTTTTTGGCACAATTTGAGATTGGTGTCTGCAGTGAAATTATTAGGCACTCTTTTTTCTTTCCCCTTCTTGTTACCAAGAAACCTTGGTGTAGCAATTGAGCTTTGGTGTCTGCAGTGAAATTATTTAGTTGGTTTCTTTATAGTCGTTGAAAGACATGTAAAACAAGTTGGGCTGTATTGATCTAAGCCCAATTTTTGTCTGACCCAAGCAGATTCGGGTTGAGCTGGGTTGTGCCTAACACCCTAGACTGAGCTTTGGAGTAATCATCTAGTGTTTTGGGAATTCCACAGTGACGGCCTAGCATGTATGTCCAATAGTAAGAGATTATACAGTTAGATGATCTAAAAAAAAATAAAAATAATATGAAAAATTACAAATTATTATTGATTGAGCACACAATTGCATTTAAATAATTTTTGTTAATTTTGAGTCATTTAAGCTTTTGTCGTGGCCAATAATTTCATTAGTATAAGTTTTTTGAATGCATATATGACGAAATCAAATTAATATAATTTTTACATTAATTTAATTTTCTGTTTCTAAATGATTTATTAAAAAAAACACAAATTATTAAAATATGCACCAGTTTAAGGCGTTATGGTTTGTTTATTTTTTTTATTTTTTTGGAATAATTACATTTTACCTCCTGTGGTTTCACGCTTTTTCACATTACTTCCCTAACGTTGATAAATGTACTCATAAACACCATGTGCCTTTGGCTGAAGTGCAAAAGTGACGAGACGTGACGGAATTATTGAAAAGATTAGAATACCCTTAGATATTTGTATTGCTTACATGCTACAGTCCATTCAGTTGCTTCATTACGATTTTCAGAGTAAGAGAGATAGAGAGAGATACACATGGGTTAGGGTTTCAAAGAATTTGCGAATCGAATCAGTAACAATCGATTGAGACTACAAACAATCTGCTTTTGAAAATTTTACTCCAAGTAACAATCGGCGAACCCTAAATTTATTGAATGTTGGATGTTTTCTATGACTATTTGGCGATTTGATTACGATTTTTTAAATTTATTGTATAATATGTTTAGAAAATGACTTGTTTGATGTTTAATGTTTGCAAATATAAAAGAAAAAGAAAAAGAAGAGCTTTATTGGTAAGGTTTTCTTTACGATGTATGTTTGTTGGCTTTTTGTTAAGGTTGTTGCCTTATTGTTAGCTTTTTTTATAGAGTTTGTATTGTATGTGTCGATAAAGTTGTGGGGTATAAGTGTTTCATCAACTTTTTTTTTTTTTTTTACTTAAGTACATGAAGATAGATATATCTAGAATAATAAATTAGGATTTTTTTTTTATTTTTTATGCAAAAATGGCTACAGATTTAGGGTTTTGTTGATTTTGATGCATGACTAGTGTGTGAGTATTTTTCCGACCACACTGCCAACTCAGTATTCAGCTGGAGAGCACTGGCAGAATAGATGGCACTTGGCTGACCTGCAATAGAAAGAGTAGATTCCGGCGGTGGTTCGTCCACCCGGGGGCACTCCGACGATCAAGTCAGTATATCTCTCAAAGATAATCAATAGTGCTAAACTCATTGTTCAGAATATAAATTGCGTACCTTAGACCCATCGGGGGTGCCTTTCTTTTATAGTTAACTCAATCATTGTCCCAATAGAAGCCTAACTTTAATGGACTTTAGCTCAGTGCTTATCCAGAACTCTTCTATAGATAGACATAAACTCCCTAAGAGTTTTATCTTTATCCAGGCTGAGTTCCCTCATCATTCTAGGACTCTTGTGCCTTATCCGCTTATCTCGAATTCCGATATCTTCGGAGATAACCTCGGCCTTACCGAGATAACCTCGGTGTCATGACCAGGACACGTCGCACCTCGGCTGACACGTCGGCGTCACCTTGGCCACGTGTTGGTACTCAGAAAATATATCCCCACAACTGCCCCCTAGGTTCTATTACTTCAGCAGTATGAGGTGATGGAACCTATACCAGAACTTCCTGCCAATACATCGGTTTAAAGTCTCTCAGCCGAGATCATCATATAGGCCGACATGTCTTTTTAAGGTTTAAAGATTCCAAGATCTCCTTCACGCGTATGAGCTGTCTTGTAAAATAACTCAACCGTTTCAGCCACGCGTCTTCTTTTTACTAGATCGTACTCCGTACGCGCTTGTAAGTCGTCTCGCGCCTGCATGCGCCGTCTGAAAAATCCGTTTTTCTAGGCTCATCAATTCCTTTTTGCTGCCTTTTCACGTTTTTGGACAAAACCAATATCCCTTCTCTTCGTCTCTTCACTTTACATCGTTTCTGAAGCTCTCTTTCTCTCTAGCTTTCCGACATCCTCCATTGTTTCAAGCTTTCAAGCTCTGCTATCACCACTGTTTATCTTCCTCCGGTGAGGCTCTTGCTAATCTTTCTCCACTACTGCCGTTCGTCTGACTTCGGCAAACTCAACACCGGCTTCATTCCTTTGGTGAGTTACTGTTTTCTTCCCGATTTTAGTTCTAGTCGCTTTTCAAGAAGTTTTGCTTCATTATTTTCCATTGCCGTCTTACTCAAGTATTTGATTTATGAATCACGTATCTGAATGTGCTTATTTCATAATTTTGCTCTTGCCCATGTCTTGAATACACGTACTGCCCACAACTTTTCTACACTTTTGCCACTATTCTTGTCCTTATACCCTTTGTACTTACAATGTTCTTGATAGTCCATCTTTGTTCTGGATTCTGAAGCGCATTCTTGCTTTCCTGTTTTCCAAATTCGTGCCTTCAATCTTCATTTCCATAGATCTAGGTTTGGGATTTGTTTGTAGAACCCACAAATTTTTAGGAAAAATCGAAAACGATCCCTACAATTTCTTACTCCACAAATTTTTAGGTTTTTGCCGAGGTCCTAATAACCATTTTTAAACACCTTCATTCTGAAACCCAGTTCCTCTTAGTTAGGCCGATATCATGGGTATGTGGAAACATAGGATAGACACCCCGACCAAGTTAGATCACTTTAGGCGTGAGTTTGACATCCCTACCGACGTCCACTTGAGATTGGCTGGAGAGGATGACTCTATCATGCCCACAACTGATTCCATGCCCCTCCCTGTTGTAGCTTTCATCGAGTGCGAATGTCGGCTCCCACTTAATATGCTTTTTCGTGAGATCATTCACTATTATAAGTTGAACCCAATGCAGCTTGCCATCAACTCCTACCGAGTCATCAATGGCATAATAGCCTTAGCCAAACAAGAAAATGCTAGGATTACCTTAGCAGATATCCAATATTGCTACACCATGTGTGGCCTTAAAAAAGATACAGGTTATGTTTACTACCTTAAGCCAAGGTCTACGGACTACAAAATTGTTGCCGACCTCCCTGACTCCAACAAGGGAGCTATGTCTGTTTTTCTTGCAGCTCTTCCTAAGCCACCAAAGGGCTTCCGCCAGTCTTTCTTTCCCAGTAAAGACTTGAAGAAGTTACTGGATTTGCCAGTTCACAAATTGAAGGCCCCTCTTCTACTCAATTTCATTCCTACCTACAAGTCAGCTTTTTCTGACGTCCCTAAGAAGAAGAAGAAAAGCCTTTCTCCACCTTCTGCTATAACTCCTCAAGCTGCCTCCACATCTCGGCCAGATCAAGGATCAATTTCTGACCCAGCAGATCAGCCATCAACTTCGGCTCCATATCTGATCCCAATATCCCAGCGCCGTCGACGATGCCAAACAGTTTTTGCTACTGAAATGGGCCACCAAAAAGCAGTTGCCAAAGACCTCTTAGCCAGCATCCCTACCGACGTTGACGTTCAGTCAGCACAAACCCAGCCTCAGCCAAGGCAAAAGTAAAAAAGAATTAAGAAGGCCCAGCCAAAGGCAAAGGTGACTCAGGTTGATACTGAGGATACCTTGCCAATCTCCAAATTGGCTGAGAGCAATAAGTCCCATTCTGCCGCCGAGAAGAGGCCTGCCGAGGGTCAACCATCCGAGTCTACTCGATCAAAGAGGCCGAGGTCATCTACTACATCCACCTCGGGGTCTTTGAAGCACGACGCCCCTTGGCCCCCCAAATCACACTGGAGGATAAGCCAGTTAGGGCTAGCGACAGTACCGACGATATTAATGTCGCCGTCGCCCTCAGTACCGCTCTGCTCCTTCCCGGCGATCTCGACTGGAACGCCGAGCTGAGCGAATATGAAAACTATGCTCTGATGCTTCAGCGCTCTGTTCAAGTAAGTCTCTTTATTCGGTAATTTTTCTTTCTCTCTCTTCATTTCATACTTATAATATTTTCTAATAACTTCTGTTCACTTTTAGGCCATCCACCATGCTCATTCTTTCCCAGTGTAAGCCTTTAAGAATTGGAAGGAGTTGGCCGACAAGAAGAGGGAGACTACTAGTCTGCAAAAGACTAATAAAAGCTTGCAATCCAAGATGAAGACCTTGGACGATCAAGTTGAGGCTGCTATCAAGACCCAAAATGTTGCTGAAGAAAAAGCAGAATCCGCAGAGGCCATTAAGAAGGTTCTTGAGACCGAAAAGAGAGAGGCCGAAGAAAAGATGACCCAAGCCCAGAAAGAACTTCAAGAAGCCCTGGCCACAAAAGAGGTCGAAGTCAAGGCCGCCGATGAGAAGGGCTATAACGAGGGGGTGGCCGATGTCATGGCAGACTATGAAAAGCAGGTGAAGCAGGCATGCAACAAGGGTTTCACTCTTGGTTAGATGCCTCTTCTAAAAAGGCTTGAAGTACCCGAGGGCTCGCCCCTCAGGAACGCCAACGTCATTCCTCTTCCATTCCTTTAAACTCCAAGTCAATCCGACGATGAATCTGAGTCTGAGGAGGAGACCTTGGTGAGGAAATCAAAGGAGGCTACTGGGACCATGTCCCCTTCTCTGAATGAGAAAGTCCTGGACTTGACTCAAGATGAGGAGGGTGAAGAAGTCCCCAAGGATGCCACTCCTGAGAAGGCGTCATCGGACGTGCCCCTTGCCAACAAGAGCCTCGATCTAACCCTTTAAGAAATTGACGTCGAGCTTGCGGCTGAGAAGGCTGTCGAGATGTCTTCTCAGCAGTCCTCCGAAGTCCAAACCCAGCCTGCTAATGATGCTGAATAATCTTAATTTTATGTTTTTCTCTTTCTTCTGTGCTCTGTACTTTTGTCTTTCTTTT